GGTACCCGTTTAAGGTTGGGTCAATCTGGGAGCTAAGGTTATTTTTTTTTTTAAAGTCTGGCTCTGTCAGGATCTGAACATATGACCTTTGGATCTGTAGGCGAACTTCTAGCCACTACACTTCTCATCATCATCATGTGCCCTGCCAAGCTACACCTCTGCGCCCTCCTATTATAGTATCTCCAAACAAAAGTCAACCATTCTGTCAGAAACAAACTGTGGTCACCCATTGTGTGAGGAAAATAGATGTGTTTAACTCTTTGAGTCCCAAGGAACGTATAATACGTTTATAGGTTCCTACCTAGAAGCCCAATGAACGCATGATGCAATGATTTTATTACTTTCTTTACTACCCCCTGGGCCTGTGATGCTAAACCCCATGGGACTCAAAGAGTTAAGAACCTCTTGACCACTGTAAAGTTAGCACCAGTAGAGGCGGATCAAGAGAAATGAAGCTGGATGGTTTAAGTGAGTGGCATAGAGGAACACCATGAACAAACTGACCCAGAATACACACAGAAGACAAAGATTTATGGAGACAACAGTTATACAAGGGGGCTTGAAATGAACAGTTTCAAAGTATGATAGAAATTACAATAACCATACCATTGTCTTGTCGCCTGTCAATAATTTTGTTAAGGATGTCAAGAGTATTAAGCTTGTGACATCACAGTGCAGACAAACACAGTAATGTTATTACAGTTTATAGATGGCTACCACACCTTTGACATGCACCAATGAGGATCAGTGTTCTGTTATCAGTTTTTTTTTTTAATTTTTATTGAAGCTGTGGAATATACAGATATTTATGGGCGAATGAAGGTCCAATATTGTCATTGGCATTTACACTCACAGTCAGTGGGCTGTATGAAGCCTTTGATAACTACAATCAACTCTTGGATCACTATTTGGTTGTACGATCTGGCAATGCTCACATTGATAAGAAATTTACTTTTTAATTATTTGCCTTTGAGTTTTTATTTGTTTTGCTGATGAAGCTTTTAATACTGACCTTGTGATTGTTTTGTTTCGCTTTCTTTGCAGAGCTGACTTTTCATTCTTTCAGCATCTCAAGTAAATTTCAGATTGACTGTTGCTTTTGAAGAAATACAAATATCTTAATGGGTTCATCTTTTTGTATTCTCCAGAGAGTGAGAGCCCACCTCCTCCGCCTCCAGATGTGGCCCAGCATGATCTGATGATGAGGCTAGGTTTTCTGCTGGGTGACCCCATACATCCCAGTGGGATCACAGGGGTAGGAGTGGTGCTCCCTGATGAACACCAAGGAGAGACAACTTTGAATTCCATTCCTCACTGTCCAGTAATGAACTGACACCTGAGAAGTGTGTTAGCTCCCTTTCCACCATTACAGGTGTGTGTTTTTGGTATCAGCTCATTTATTTATAATATTAGGTTATTTAATTTATAATATTAGGTTATTTAATTTATAATATTAGGTCATTTAATTTATAATATTAGGTTATTTAATATTATAATATTAGGTTATTTAATTTATAATATTAGGTTATTTAATTTATAATATTAGGTTATTTAATTTATAATATTAGGTTATTTAATTTATAATATTAGGTTATTTAATTTATAATATTAGGTCATTTAATTTATAATATTAGGTTATTTAATTTATAATATTAGGTCATTTAATTTATAATATTAGGTTATTTAATTTATAATATTAGGTTATTTAATTTATAATAGTCATTTAATTTATAATATTAGGTCATTTAATTTATAATATTAACTTATTTAATTTATCATGGCATTGGGCCAAAGGGCGAAAGCTCATGTGCCGCTGGATCGATAACAACATTTAATTTATAATATTAGCTAATTTAATTTATAATATCAACTCATTTAATTTATAATTTCAGCTCATTTAATTTATAATATTAGCTAATTTAATTTATAATATTAGCTAATTTAATTTATAATATCAACTCATTTAATTTATAATATTAGTTAATTTAATTTATAATATCAACTCATTTAATTTATAATATTAGTTAATTTAATTTATAATATTAGCTAATTTAATTTATAATATCAACTCATTTAATTTATAATATTAGCTAATTTAATTTATAATATCAGCTAAATTAATTTATAATGTAAGGTCATTTAATTTATAATATTATGTCATTTAATTTATAATATTCTGTAGAACAAGACCAGAGTTCAGAAGTGAATGAACAAACAGACATTTTGGCATCAGTTAACAACTGGTGAATACTAAAATGAAGAAGAATGCAAACTTGTTTGCTGTCAAACCACCCCTAGTTGGAAACATACCTGGTATTTCAGAACTATAGAGTGCATTCACAATGCCTACAGAACATTTATTGTATAAATTTGATGTAGAACATTAAACAATTAAATACACTAAAGTGACTTTGATGATTTCTAATCTAATCATACTAATGACATTGTTTTTTAAATGTTTTATCTAGAATTTTTTGTTGATGTCATTTTTTAAATGATAATTTATTATCTCATTTTGCATAGAGAGTGGCAGTTTTAAAAGCTTTCACTGTTTGCAGTATTGAAATTGTATGTTTCAGTGAAAGTTGATCATTGATTGTGCATTTCTTTTTATGTAGCCTGCATTCCTAGTGTAAAAGAGGACATTCCATTGTTTGGATCAAAAAGAAATGGGTCAGTTCGCAGATCAGCTCGGGTCTCGGTCAATGGAAGAAGATGTAAGTAAATTTCATGACGGATATGTTATATTTTACTGTTTGTTGTTTGCTAATTTAATTACTGAAATATATTTGGATATTAATAACAGTTTTTTAAGATTCATAAGTACAGTAGAGGTACTGAATGGGGAAGAGATATCTAGCATGGAAAATATACTTCTTGGGGAAAGAGATTTGATATAAAAAATACCACCATGTAGACAATTTATCACTGTGTGTGTGGGATCAAGTGTGGAAAAGATACCACCATGTAGACAATTTATCACTGTGTGTGTGGGATCAAGTGTGGAAGAGATACCACCATGTAGACAATTTATCACTGTGTGTGTGGGATCAAGTGTGGAAGAGATACCACCATGTGGACAATTTATCACTAGTGTGTGTGGGATCAAGTGTGGAAGAGATACCACCTGTGGTAGGATACATTGTGGACAGTTTATTATCTTGTGAATGTGATTCATTGTGGAAGAGATACTTGCATCTGGAAGAGCTGTATTAGGGAAGAGATACGAGTGCTGACCATATGGTGCAGAACTGTCCTTTGTACAGCTTGTTGAGAAAGACATACTGGCTCTCTGAATCATCACTTCTAGTAGTGTTCCATCTCATATGGCTCAGTCTGCATTGTGGTGGCTACCTACAAAGCACATCATACAAAGCACAAATTCCATATCACCTACAACAACCCCCACAGATCTCTCAAACAAATGTCACTTGTTAACCAAGTGACAATCCAAAAATGAACCAGTAACTTTTACAGTGTATGGTAAACATTGAATACCCATTGTTGTTGACATCAAAGCTTTAGAGTTGTCATCAAAGCTTTAGAGTTGTCATCAAAGCTTTAGAGTTGTCTGCTCCTGGCACCCATTCTTTTGGTGCAGGCTCTCTGCAAAGACTTTTAAAAAAATACTCAATGAAGTTTTAAAAAACTTTAATAAACTTTGTTGCTTATTTATGATAAAATGTCTGACATTTTGCAGCGGAGTCCAGAAAAAGCAAGTCTGACCAGTTACTGCTGAAGCCTTTAACTTTTGAAGTTGCTCACCCTGAAGGGAAACCAATATTTGTTGGTAGAGCGTGGCTGTTTTGCAAATTGGAAGCAATCTTTGGAGCAGATGGATGCGGAACTCCAAAATCTAATGGGGTCATTATAACTGGAGCTCAGGGAACAGGAAAAACAGCCATTGTGGAACAGCTGATTAATCACAGCTGTTTTTCTGATGATAATATTAGTTCAAATTCATCAAGTAAGTTTGATTTTCTCACTGTTTTTATTTGTTCCTATTTTTTTTTTTTTTTTGGTAAAAAAAGAAAAAAGAAAATGTCATACCCTGTTTAACCATCTAATCATTTTCATAAAGGCATGTTGGGATGGCTGCTAAAATAAAGCAGACTGAACATGCAAAGTCTGGTGACTTCAGTTCCCAACATTCTTCACAACAAATGAATAACTTTTATCTATTCATTTCAAAGATTGCCATTGTTCACCAATGTAATAATATTTCATTTTCAAAACATTGCAATTTTATGTGAATGATAGACCTTGTTGGTGATGACATTTATATGAAAGTGTCAAGTTGGGTGAGAATCAAAGGGCACTTACTCTCTCTGGAAGTCAGAAGTTTGATGTGAAGGTGACATTTTGAATCATCAGCGTCACCCATAACAGTGCATGTTGTTGGGTCACCAGTTGCTGTTGACTGCCTACTTAACTCCCTCCACCTCTGTCAGCCAGATGTAACGGACTTATTATTTACATGTTCGAGGCCTGCCTGTTCGGCCACGTTCCATATCTAGGTGTTTCTTGGTCTGCTTCTTTCCCTTTTTAACTCTATAGAGTATAATCAGATCTATTAGTCAGGTGGGGCACCTCAGGCAGTATTTCAATCCTGGTTAGAGCTCAGTCCACTTCAGGTGACCATTTCCCAAAAGCCAGTGTCCTAATAAATACAGTTACCAGTCTGCACTTGTCGGATCTCACTACAGCAGCAGAATACTAATTTTTGCTTGTCACCCTCCTAGGAGATCTGGCTACCCCCTACAGTGCTCGCTGGTGCCAGACGTGACCACACCTTACAGATCATTTCCAGATGTAACCACACCTTACAGACCATTGTTGCATCATTTGCTTATAAGCTTACATTCTTTTCTCTAAACTTCTGTCCTATAGTCTGCTATGAGTGTCAGTCTATATCCTGAATTTTTTTTTTTAACCTTGCAACATTTGTCACTCATTTATTTCTCAAAGTTCCAGTTTTCCTTTTTCCCCCTTTGTTTTAGGATCTCATGAAAAGCTCCATTCAAATCCTGGTCACGGCACCAGACTGACAGATTACACAGCCATCAATGGCCTTGGCTTCCAAGTGGTTGCCTACCACATCTGCCAGGCAGACAACAGTGCCACCTGCATGGTGGCTGACATGGTTTCCAGCATGGCTGCTCAGATGGCTAAAGCTCCACAGCTAGTAGCCTACCGTGGAGCTTTTACTGCAGGTTGGTATGCTAATTTAACCAGATGTTGGTTTAGTCCCCTACCAAAGAGGGATTACTCTGACCAGACATGTCTAGTACAATCCTTTTTTTAAAAGGATAATCTTTGAACTTTGAAACTAAAGACTTCCTATTTGTAGTAAACAAAGCCAAATAGTGTTTTTTCTTCTTCATCCTCTTATTCACTGGCTGTTGTTCTGGTATTTCATCTACTAATGGACTTCTGGTCTTTTTCTAGAACTAGTTTTGCATGCACATCTTTTACAGACCTTGCTTATTTGTAAGCAGACTGTTGGTTCCTTGCATTTCAGGCAGATTTACTTTGTCTACAAAAGAGTAAGGATTTACTTTGTCTACAAAAGAGTAAGGAGTCAAGCAGAAGCTTAACCCCCAAATGGGACCCTTGAACCCACACAGGGAAAATAATGTTTCAATACTG